TTGCAAGAGACTTGAAGACGGACTGCACGCTCTGGTAAAGTAAAAAGAAAACAGGAAGTAAAGCAACACCTCTATAACAGATGAAGGAGCTTCTGTAACTTTATCTGCAGTGAAACCATCTTATACTTGTTTTATGTCATGTAAAAAAACACTTTCGGCATGTTACAGGCCTACTATAATCTTATGTATACGTGTGTGAAATGGACGTTTTTACTAGGTGAGATTTTCTGCAACAATCTAGGGCAGGAAGCGCAGAGGTTTCACACTGATAACCACAACTTCCCGATACCAACGTGGCACAGAAAACAGCAGGTAGAGATGAGCAAAGTAGGAAAACGTTCAGATGCATCCATTTTCTTCTTCTTACTGAGAATTATTCAACTGGGATCAGTCATAAAAATCAGCAATCGGGTATGGTGAACAGATGATGTCAATCTATACATGGGTTGGTAATTCTCACATCAAAAATCTACTTATGAAAATGCTGCTGTTTTATACAAGCACAGAAACATATGACAAAAATGTATAACATGACATCTAATTTCCTTTCTTCAAAAAAAGAAAAAAAAAACTACTCCAATTGCCCCAAGAAAAACATTATACCAATTTATGGTTAACTCAAAAAATCAATCCAAGGTAAATACACTATAAATTTTGTTGTAAAAGGGTCATTTTCAAACAACCACAATGAAAAGCATAGTGGTTTTCTTTCAGCCAGCTGGCCAGCAGTGCTCAGCAGCAGGTGGAGGAAGGAGAAATTTACTCCTTAGGCTTGAAACACCCGCAGAAAACTCCAGTTACGCCATGAACTTTAATTGGCACCTCAGTGAAAAAAGGAAAACTTTAACCCCAGAAATATCAGGACGTTACATTTGAAGGTTTGAAATAACATGTTTAAATCTGCCCATACAAGTAAGAGCTCTTTGAATGGATTTACTGAAAGATCAGTTTGCTTTCATTGTTAAGCACCTTGAGGGATACATTAATGCTATGAGATCTTTTGTGAATAAATGTCTTCAAAGCAACATCACAACATTTAGAAGATGAGAGGATTTGCAAGAGGAACAACTTCGATGTAAAAGAAGAAATTACAATTTGCATTTGATATAAATACCATATTGTTTTTAAAGTATGGGGAGCTTGCTTTAAAATATCCAAAAAGGCTCTAAAATACTGGAAAAATATCGTACACATGGCGAATGTGGTTCTCTTTATAAAATGTTTTATGGATTACTATTTAATGTAGTTTGTTTTGTCGTGAGGTAAACTAATAAAACGGTTTTGATACTAGGACAAATCTTTTAAAAATAAATGTACATCTGACAAAACAGGGGAAGCTGTAATTGTACATAAGGAAAATCTTGTAGGAACTTATTCATCATGTCTGATGTGGGAAAAACTGCAGATGATGGTGAAGCAGTTTCTGGTGGACTTTATGGTTGTACATTCCGCAAAATTAAAAAACCACCAACATATTTTAAATTGTGCATTTGTGCTCTCACACCTTTATTGCCATCTTGCAGCGGAAGTTGAGCCCAGTGGGAATGGAATACCTGCACAGAAGCGTGAAAATGATGCGTAAATGTGACGCTTACTGATGTACTCCGCAAGACAGACAAATAAAACCTGCACCTGCTGAAGAAGAGCGGTGCGAACAGGAAGCAAGCATATGCCGATCGAGAGGAGTTCACAGACCGCAGGGCGAGCTACAAGTGAGAGAGAAATACAACAAAATCAACATTGCTCATTGACGCAAGGTTTGCACTAACAGGAAGAAACCAGACTGCATGCATGGCTGAAGGAAGTGTCGTTGTATCTGACAGCAGCAGCAGCTCACCCCGTCTTCCAGAGGCTCCACATACAGCTCGTCCCCGATCCTGGACAGAGAGTGGATGGCTTTGGCCAGTACTGGTCAGTACATGCACACACACAATCAGTAATTAAGTCATTACTAGCGTATATTGCGTATGACCTAGCTGGAGAACGACGGGACAGCAGGAAATAGTCGGTACCTTTCACGTTTCCTCCCGTTACGACACATTGCATTTTTACAAAGATATCGGTTGAGATGAGCAAACCTTGCTAAAAGTTTTCCAAAGCTACCAAACAGCTTTAGAACCAGTTTGTGGGGTTTTAATAGCGACCGCCCTCAAAATAAATACTCCGACGGAAAACATACTTATTAAAGCTGTGGTCGTGTTTGTAAAAGCTTATTTGCGATGACTGCTTCACTGAATAACCGACCATTGCCTTGTTTACGCCGCCATAACCCACTTCCTGACTGTCGACCTATCAGAAAAGAAGGAATCGAGCGCATGCGCATTCACTTTTCTGTGGGTTAAGCTCGGAATCGACTCTTTACTGTTTTTAAACAAGTATGAAAGGGGGCATTCTAACCCAATAGCATTGGGTTAGAGTAGCATTTTTATGAATATGAATTTAGACAGAAAAATGGGTTTCAACTAGTCACCAACGTTTTATTTAAGATATTGATCAAAAACATAAATGAACGCTTTCCTGCAATGTCTCATTTTTGCTCTACCCATCAGTATGTCTCCCTTGTAATTTATCATCTCATGGTAAGGACCTAGTTTGTCTTGTGTGACACACCTGAAAACTTTCAAACCTAACAGATGTTGCCCTTTTTTTAAAAAAAAAAAAAAAAATGCAGTTAGTTTCATTACATTGATGTTGCTAGTAGAAACTTTCTGCTTTGAGTGGTTCCCAACCTTGCTCCCTCAGGCCCACAGATTTGCATATCTTAGATTTCACCCAGTTTTTGCACATCTTGCCTAAATTCACGAGCAATTAACAAGCTTTAACAAAACCTGGCAAAATAGTGTACGCTCATATTTCACTAAAACAGATCGTTTAGCTCTGTCAGATAAAATGCAAACAATTTTCTGTTCATAAATTTTACAATTAAACAGTTGCTGGTAAATAATAAAATACATCAAAAGGCATGTCATTGATTTGGAATCTGCTTACTGCATCCTGCAGATATTTATTTCTCTCACATTGTTTTTCTTACACGTAATGCATAGTAAACAAAGCAGAATTCTCTATAAAGCTTCTTTTCCCCCCTTTTCTTGGTGTAAGAAACAGAAATAAAACTGTAACTGAATTGAGGTTCATTAAAAGTATGTTTTAAAAGTGGTCACTTTAAAGTATTATGGTGCTTGAGATCCATTTTAATAAAAGTATGCCTTTATCTTCACTCATTAAACCTACAGCCTTATTTCACTTTTGATTTTGCCTTTAATAAGCCTGGATTGCTGTGGAATCGGCCAGATGTTTGTGCTGCAATGAACCTCACTAGCTGTTGGACTAGATTCCTATTCTCACTCCTTACAGGAGGTGATACTTCAGAGGCTACCAGAAAAACAACAACACTTTCATGAAAACACTATCAACCCTAAATCTGTTTTTATCCTTTTCATCTGGTGATGGATTATACTTTAATTATGACATCGCATGTTAATAGAGATATTTAGGATAACATTATAATGCTTATATTACAGTCCTTTACCACATTTTAATTATAGTTTCTCAAACTACAACCACAAACATCAGTTTATGTTACTGAGGTACTACATGACAAAGCAACAAAAACATTGCGCTATTGTGAAGTGAGAGGTAAATAATGCTTGGTTTGCAACAATGCAAATACAAATATGAAAAGTAAAATATATGACTTTTTTTGAGTCCCACGAAGTCAATAGTTTGTAAAACCAGCATTCTTCTTCACAAACTATATTTCATCTTTTGTATGATGTGTTCAAGGTGGTTTGCCATGTCCATTGTTCCGAATAGTTGTTGCAAGTGAAGCAGAAAGTTATTTTTTGGTCTTATCTCACCTGTATACCTTTTTCCTTCTTCCTGCTATGTGGCAAATTGGACTTTCTGCTCATCCAAAAGGTTGAAATTCTAGCCTGTCCTTCATTTTCATAAAGGCCAGTTCCTGGACATGTAATAAATACCCTTTTGCTGTCGATAGATTCTCTTGGTTGAACTGTGAATCTCTGTGACTCCTTCAGAGTTACCACGGGGGTCTTGGCCTCCTCTGATTATTGTTGTCTTTACCCAGCCTGTAACTTTAGATGGACGAACATGCCAACTGATGTATTTACACAGAGTTGGCATGTAATTTGAAATGAGGTTTTTTTGCACGGGACTTTATTTAGAAAAGATCAATGTAAAAGGAAGCTGGATACACTAAAATAAATGTCACTTTCTCTCCACTTCACAAATTGTGCAATCATGATAGAGCAACTTTGCGTAGAACTCTAACAAATTATGTGTAAGTTGGTGTTTGTGACAGTTTCTGGAAAGGTTTAAGAGAGATTAATACTACGACAGATTACTGTAGGTCCAACATCACTTCTGAAGAACCGTTGACACAAAATGGGTTGCTAAATATACTACATAGTTTTCTCTCAATCTAAAGAAGCTAGCTGTAAAAATAGCTGCCACTCTCAAAGTAAACCTCCCTATAATTACCAATGGAGGGTCACTGTGGGAAGATAGAGGGTGTGCATGTGCTAGACTCAGCAAGAAGTAGGAAGGAAGGGCGACTGAAAACTCAAGCAGAGTGACACACAGAGGGAGAGTCACTGTCAAAGTGGAATTATCTCACCTCTCTGGTTTGTCTTGTTTGTCTTCTTCAGTGCGTAAGATGTGAGGAACGCTGCCGTGAACTCACTCTCCTCCCATCAGAGGTGATATAAGCAGCTGCTGAAGAAGAAGTATTACTAGAACAGGCTTGTGTGCCCAAACGGTGGACATTTAGAGAAAGAGAGACACTTTTACAAGAAGCAAGAGGAGCTATGTGAAGAGCTTGGTTTTCAAGAGATAAGAACTTTTGTTGCACAAGTTGAGGACTGTTGAATGAGTGGATGTAAAATGACAGCGAAGTGTATTTGAGAAGAAGCAGCAGGAAGATAAGCGGTAAAACGTGGGCCTTGGTTTGATGTCGTGGTGAGGAACTGTTCGCACGATGAAAAGAGATCAGAAGACTTGGCAAGAGCAAGCCAACCCTCGCCGGAGTCGTTTCAGCCAAAGCTGGATTAAAGGAGAGAAATGATCACAGCACAGGTACGTTTTTCTGTCTTGGCATCCAGCCTCAACAAAACGCAGCAGTGAGTCGACGCTGTCCCTGTTGCGCTGGGTGTGCTACGTTGTTCACATGCGTTTCAGCGAAACCAGGATCTGACACACCAAAGATTTGTTCCTAGATGTCTCAGTTACCTCATTCAACAGACAGCCAGGCCGTGTTGCAGTCCATGCTGCAGAGACTGAAGCTTCAGTCAGGAAGAGAGGGCCAGGTGCAGGTGCATTTTCAAACCCCTGTGTCCTCCTCTGCAGCTCCGGCTCTGGGGCAAAATGGTGAGAAAGGAGCTGCCAGCCTCCAGGGAGTTCCCACCACTTCTGTGAATGTGCTTAGTTTTAATGGGAACCCTTCAAAGGAGTGCCCAGTCTCAACCACGAACAGTACTTCTGGCTTCCTAAGGGATGAAAAACACCAAGCAAGTTCTGCTTTTGAAGGGAGCAGGAGTCCAACTTTCTTCCCTTCACAGAAAGTCAGCCCCAATGGAGACTCGGGCAAGAAGTGGAATCTGGGACAGGCTCCAGGGCCTGCGTTCTCCCCAACGAGTACAAGACCGCTTTTTCCTGCTAAACCACAAAAGGAGGTTAAACTCACTTACTTTAAGAGGACAGACATAGAGAGGGAGAGCACTGGCAGCACCTTGATGAGAGAAGACGTCCCTGCTAATACCGGTGCTGTTTTGAACATGATGGAAAACCAGAACCACATCCCAGCATGGTCCATGAACAGCACAGATGCCAGTTTAGCCGGTGGGGGAAATACAGGATCCCATATTGGAAACGGAGGATTTGGCAACTTGCAACAAAATAACGACTTGCAGGTCTTTTCAAACAGCCAAGTAGCAACAAACGTGAGGAGAAAACGATCAACTGAGAATAAAACGAGAAGATGGACGCAGAAGCTCAAGGAGAGGTTTAAGGACAGACATGGGAATGCTGGGAAAAAGGGAAAAGGAGACGGACTTCTTGGACAAGAAACACAAGTGAGCAGTGTTCTTTTGTTATTATTATTGTGAATAATAATCTGAAGACATATTTTAGTTTCTTATCACATTTCAATCTCTGAAAAAGTTCAGATTACATATTTTACACATTAAGCAGGACACAGTAAGTCCAACAGAATAAACCTTCATAGAGGCAAATAAGGAGATGAACAGAGACATCTGGAATGACGTACACAGCTGACATGTTTCACATATTCACTCAATCTCCAACCAGGTAATAATGCCAGACACACCAGGCAACAAACCAAATAATGATCCAGATGCAACCTTCTCTCCTTTGGACTGCACTGATGCCAGCAAATTACATCCTGCACAAACAGAAGACAACACTACTGCAAGCAACATCAGGTAATCACCAAACAGACTCACTCTTAATAATGTCCAAACAGGCCCAAATTATTTCTGATGTCCTAAAAGCATTAAGAGTTAGATTTTATTTATTTGTATTTTTCCCTTTATTTGCCTTTCATAACTCATCAGAGTTATGAAAGGTATTTGGGATCTTTCCAGTAATAGCTTTGTGACTACTATACCTGACATTTTCACATCTAATGTATCAAGAACGCTCCGGTCATTGACAAGATCTGTCAACAGATTTCTGCAAACACATTTTCAGACAATGTGTGTTGTGATTCTTCTAAACAGACCATTTGAGGAAGCAATGGCTGTTAAGGAAGAAGGAAATAAAATTACATTTTTGATTTTATTATTCAATTGGCTGACAGCTTCAACTCAAAAGCCCTTATTGTTCTATAATAAAAACATCCTCAAACTCTTCTCAGCTCCTTTTTACAATGAAAGGTGATGAAAAAGAATATGTGAGAAATAAAACGCCTGCACAGGGATTATTTTTGTGGTAAAATTTCTGAAATATTTCTGTGAAGAGTCTTTTCAAGTTGGGATTTTTTCAAGTAAAATAAAAAAATATGGGTAGAGGATAAAACAATCTCTGAACCTTTTCTCTTTTCAAGGACTTAGAAAAAGATTTACCAAATGTTATCTGTGGTGAGCCACAGGGTTCAAGACTGGGTTTAAACCTTTTATTTTGTTTACAAATTACTTTTGTTATCCAGAACTATAATGTTCAATTTATTTGCAGATGAAACAACGAAACCATGTTATGTCACTCTGATGAAAGTTTGTAAGCAACCTTTGAGCCAAACAGAAAGGAAAATAATGGTTTTAGAGAAATGCTTTGAGAAAAATAAATACTCACTGAATTACAGCAGAACAAAATTGTGTAAAAATGAAACTGAAATTCGGGGTAAAAATCATTTTGTCAGTGACATGTTCTGGATTATAAGATTTTAATGTTTTGCTTCCTAAAAGCCAAACTGAGCTTAAACTTCCTCTTCTTTCAGGCGCAGCAGTGACTTTGACATCGGCTTGGGGTCATTCAGCCTTCTGGACGAGATCACCAAGGGTCAGGAGTGGGCTAGGTTTTTAAACCCAAACCTCTCCACATCCTCTGTAACTGAGAGGCCATCAGAGGAGTCATCAAGCCAAATCCATATTCAGCCACAACCTCACAGTCTTAATCAGTCACCGGGAACTTTGAATCAGGTTGGAGTTGGGAACAACCCGTGGAGCTTCAGGAGCGCAGAGTCCTCACCTGGTCCAGTCTTCAGCATGCCACAGTCAGCCCCTGCTTTCACACCTGTAAACTTGGACACTTCAGCATTAAAGCAGCCGGCTGACCACTCGGAGCCAATGGAAGATGGACAAAGCCGATCGGAAATGCTGTCCAAACTCCAGCTTAGGTTGTCAGCGTTTGCAGAGGTCAGATGTTCATTTCTTTCTGAAAGACAACATGTAAAATATTTAATTGTATTTTTTTTACACTCCCAGCATTAAAAGTATTAAGTGTTCTTGGTTGCAGCCATCAGGGAATCCTTACCATTCAATAGCAAGAAACAGAATCCAGATGAGCAGAAAGAGGCAACATCAGCCGGCTGAGAGGAAAAACGAGGGATTTCAGACTGAGAAACTGAGTGATGGAGGAAAGACAGACAAAGGTATGCAGAAACAATATGAAAACACACTATCTATGTTTTATTATTCAGTAAACATTGTCAGGTTGTAGCACATTTTATATAAATATATGTAGAATCAGGTCCTTAAAGGGCATCTATACTTACATAATATCTGTGATGCTTATGGGATACCTGCAAGGGACTTAAGACGGTATTTAAAAGTTACTTTTGAGATACTTACACACTATTTACAGCTCAAGTATATAACTTCCTTAAGCAATATGTTTTTTCTTACATATTTGTTAAAACTGTCACTGTTGTGAAAGTAGAATGAGAAACAGATAATATGAAAAAAATCAAAAAATCCTCTGCCTCCTCTCTGTGGACCTAACACTATTTTCAGAAATAACAAGTGTTTCTGAAGATAGCAACAATAAATTAATAACATAAATTGGCAAGAAACAACCAATCAGAGGCAGGAGGAAGGTGTTAACTTTAACTCGTTATTAACTTAAACTACCTGGACTTTATTTGTCAGGAAAAAGGCACACCATTGAATCCAAATTGGATTTATGTAAGACAAAGAATTCTACCTATTAAAATACATATTGTGTATCAACAGCATGCTATTAGGGGTCACTATGGGTGCCAACAAGGTACATACAGGGAACCTAAGGGTAAGTAAAGGAGTACTTGGAGAAATACAATGATATTATCAGGCTCGCTACAGGAGTTGTAAGGATGATATGGATGATTTGTCCATACTTTGAACTTTTTTAAGTTAGTTACAAAACCTGAACCTGGATTTTACTCAGTTACATTTGAAGACATATTCACAGTGACTAAAAAAAAATCAAATATAAACGCCACAAAAGACGGCATTGATCCTTCTGCTCGGTTAGTAATCAGATATCATAATGTTGCATCAATTAGAAAGCAGGCTCAAACATAGTTAACCTGTGCAAAAAAGAAGAAGAAAACTCATGGCTGTAATAAGGGACCAGGTTAACTAGGCAACAGCTTTATGATTTTATACCTAACCCTTTAATTCTTGGTCTGTATTGCTGCCAGTTTTCATCCTTCATCTGTGCTTTAATAAAATATTTCCTCCTCTAGCTTTCATCAATAATGCCGTTTGCTGCAGTTTTTGTTCATCAACTTTTTTCCCCTCTTATGATGAACCAGGGCCCATATCTTCACCATCCTCAACCAGCATCCAAATGATGGGAGAGTCAGTGGAGTCACAGCAGGGAAACATCTCATCTTCACAAGAGCAAAGGACTCTTCCTGTCTCTCTTTCTCCAACGTCACTGAGTCCCTCTGCCCCGCCTCCCCGGAGTGTGCTCAGAAACAACATGTCCCATGAAGCCGAATCCGCAATGGAGACGATGACAAAACGGGTGAGAGATTGTGGATAACAGCGCTCCCTTGTGGTGAAACGTTTTAACGCGAAAGGCGCACTTAAATATCAATTAGCAGCTAAAAAACGGTTTAAATCACAATTTGAGTGCATTTTTTATGCATATATGTCAAATTAAATATGGATTGCATGCATGTATATTGTTCTTGATTCTACAAAAAACATAAAAATAAACTGACCCAAGCTAAAAGTTTTACTTAGACATTTCAGAAAATTACAAAGCCATTCAGAAGCCGCTCTGTTTTTGATAACATCATAACATGTCAAACACATTTTGGTAAATTTGACACTGATTTTTTTGTTGTTTTCCGTCTGTATTCCCTTTTTGGTGATTCACGGTTCTGTGACGCAGAGGCGGGTCGAGGAGAACCGGCGGGTTCATTTTTGCGAGCAGGTGATCGCCATAGAGTCGCCGGACATCATGGACGATACGGTGGAAGAAGAGGAGGATGAGGAGGAAGATCTGGAAGCAGACGATGACTCGTTATTCGAGCCGGACTTTGAGGCAGTGCATGGAGAAATAGGCGAAGTGTTGCCGGCCCGTCGTTCAAATCTCCCTGCTTGGATACAAGTTCTGAAGAGGATGAATGCTGGGAAAAAGCACAGATAGTGGCTGTAGATCAGAAATGATTCTACTGAATAAGTAATGTTTAAGTAATTTTAAAAACCATCATATTTGAGGAGAGTTTGTCTCCAAAACAGGTTTGCAAGGTTGTGAGAGTGTCAGAGTTTTTAAAGTGGTTTGAAACCACTTATAGTCTGGGACTCTTTGGTTACAGGAATTTCTGTCATTTTATGCATTTTTCCGGCCATACATGGAAACCATGTAACTGAATATTCCTGCAGAATGTGTGCCAAATATCTCTGGACATTTGCATTGTCCTGCCCAGAAACTGCTTCGTTAACAAGCATTCAGTCAGATCATATGCGTCTAGCAATAAAGTTTAAACGAAATGATTAAAATGTTTTTCTGCTATTGTTGCAGAGTTGTTGTGTGTTGTCCTCCATTATTCCCCTACTGGACAGCAGCTGATTGCTGTCTGATCTAATTGCTCTGCTGCTGACTCCCACACATATCCTCTCTGCAATGATTCGCTACCAGACAGTCAGAGCAATTCACTGCCAAGAGAGGAAGATTAAAATAATTATAATGATTCTAACCAGCGTCTGTGCAACTCAGTCATTTGCTTGCAAAGTGAAGTTTTCAGGCCAGGAGTGTTTTCATCCTGCAAAGAAAACAATTTTTGTTATCAAACAATTGCAAACTATGTGGACATAACTAGACTTACAGTATGATGCCATGTCTTTGTATGGTTTGCATCTGTGCCCCATTAGTTCCAGATGTTGGATTGAAATTCACCACATATTTCACCACATGGTATTAAAATTTGTATTTACAATCAAAAGGGCTAAAGGTAACAAGAAGTAAATATTTTTGGAAACCCTCTGAATTGAGATAAATAATAGAAAGGTTTATAATCTAATGTGATCTGCCACTTTTGACCAAATCACTGGGAAAACAAAGAAATTTGATTTTGAAGTGCTGCAGTGTCTGTATTATCTGAAAGGCTCATTTTAATGCTTCAGCTGGAGGAGCTGGGTTCTTGCCTTTGGCATAAATCAACCATAAAATGGAAACTGTGCGTAATGGGTAAAAACAAACTTTAAATGTCCTTGTTTTTATGGCAATTTAGATCAAATTAATACTGACCAATGAATTGTGATTAATCTTGGTCAAGATCATGGCCTGCCAAGGCATAGCGCCCCCCTTTAGCTGACTGAGCAAACAACTCTTTATACGTTCATTTGTCATCACAATGTTAAAAATGACGAAAAATACAGATATTGGATTAAGATATAGAAAGCAAGAAGTGTGATGCATATCCTGGATGGGAAAACTTTGGTATTAACTTGTCTCATGGCTCTGCATAAGAAAACCTCTCAGAAATCTGACTGACATAATTCAAGACTGATGTTTTTAGATGAGTTGATGGTAAAATAAATAAGAGAGAGGACAATGGAAATGACAGTATTAATTTATGATGCATTGACTGAGAACTAAGAAAATGTCAAAATACATAACTTATTGTGTGAAACATAAGTATGTAGGGGTAAAGCTGAGAAACAATGAAAGAAAATGAGTGTAATGGTGGTTTTTTTCCCTCTAAAGTCCCTTCCAGAAATATTAACAGCATCTGTCCATTAGCGTGCACAGGAAACATCTCATATTGATCCCGAAGTGCAGCAATTATGGCCAATTTGCAAGCCTCAAGCCACACACACATGCATGCACATGCACACATATCCCATAGTCCCTTTCCTTTTCACACGCAATGATGAGGATTATTAGATCTGTACAGTGAGATACATTAAGTCTTTATTTGAGATCACAGACATTTTGCTGTATTGCAAAAAAACATATAAACTTCTAAGCTGAAAATGACAAACAAAATATGATTTTTTTAAAATCATACGATCTTAACAGACACACAAAATGTGACACATTATTACACCTGAAAGGACTGAAGGAGCTGATGAACGACAACGGACATTTTATACTCACTCACGTCCTGCGATCCAGATTTTCAAAACATTCACGCGCCCTCAAATGTTTTGCTCTAGTCCGGCTACAACCACAAGCTTTTATGTATTTTACTGGGATCAGCACAAAGAAAATCTGACACAATTAATTGCCTTCAAAAGTCACATGGTCAGTAAACAGAAGTCACAGATGCGCAATTTAATTCAACCAAACTGACAGTCTGCTAGAAAACAGGCAGCCAAGAGGGCCAGTCAAAGCCCACACATGAATCTGTGGCAGGGATTGAAGATTGTTATTCCAGCATATTCTCCATCTGGTCTGACTGAACTTTTAGTCCCTTTTTTCCTGTACTTTTAACGAAGGAGCAGCGAGAGAAACATCAGCATGTCAACTTTTTTATATTGTCATGTGTAGAAAATTTTAAAAGTGGTCTACAATTTTCTTCCTCAGACTTAAAAATTTTACATTACAAAAAACAATTTTGGTTTGTCACTGACTAAAGCTGAAGGGAATGTTGGTGAATTTTACCCACCCTGTTGAACCACCTACAACATCCTGACCGCTGAAGAAAATGGTAAGAAAGTGTTACAAGGGTGAAGAGATTAAAACTATGAGGTTTGTCCACTATGAGGTTTGTCCAGTTTCTTTCACATTCCTGGCATCAGCAGTTGGGGGAGAGGGACACGGCTCCAGAATCATTGCAGCCACTGTTTCCTCGTCTGATTGACAGCTGACTTCCTGGTTTTGGAGTGATGGATTCATGAATCTGTTCTTCTGACACCTGGGTGGACAAGACAATTAGAAACACACCACCACAAATCAGAGTCAAACTAATATCTGGTGTGACCCTCATTTGCTTTTAAAACAGCATTGATCTGTGCAGAATCGGCTTGCACAGCATGGCATTTTTATGGAAATTTATGATGAACCACACAACACTCCACTGAAACTCATTAATTTGTTTGAAACGAAAGTAATACCAGAAGAAAAACCATATTTTTAGAATGAGAAAAAGAATAGCAAGGTCTTTGAATTCATGGTGGACGCTACACTGCATGGTTCAACCACAGCTTGCCCTTTCACCTACTTTAACCTCTCTCTCTCTCTCCCTCTCTCTCTCTCTCTTTTTCTCTCTCTCTCTCTCTCTCTCTCTCTCTCTCTCTCTCTCTTTCTTTCTTTCTCTCTCTCTCTCTATTCCCCCAGGGTAAAGACTACATGACTCAACTGTGATTTCAAAATGGCAGCTAATGGACTGATGGACGTCCAGCTGTTACTGAAATGGGTGTTTTCCAAAACAATTGAATTGAATGGTGTAGTTGCAGTTTTATCGTTATATTTCTACATGTGGAGTTTTGCTGAGGATAATCGTCCTCAACGCTGCACATTATCACCAGATACACACTGACCACGACATGACTTCACATTATCAAATATGCCTGATATTCTATGAAGAGATAGAACAATTTTACCCAACTTATATCTATAAGTGCGGAGTTATCTTTTAGCCAGTCTACCTACAACTGAATTCAAGTTTGCCTTTGAGATTCATTGCTGGTTTAAAGGCAACAAGCAAATAACCTTTAAAAGATTATTTTTTACACTTCTTCACGTTACATTATTACTGAAAACACATAGTACCTCCTCAAACTTCTTTTCTTTATAGTAGTCTGCTCCTTTCAAACAGTGCAGCAAGATGAGATCACAGAGAACCGTACCCTGCCAATACAGAAGAAAAACATGTTGAAACCACTGGCGATTACAAGAATATCCTTTTCTATTCCGAGAACATTACATAGTTCATACCATCCCAATTGAGGTGACAGCAGCGATCACATTGATCACTGTTGGAATTAAGCTGAACTTTCTTGCCTGGAAGAACAAGAGAGATCGGCATAGAGTTAATCTATTTTGACAGTGTTTTTTGATCTAGTTATATACATTCTTTTAAAGTTAAAAGATACAGTCTCAATGCTAAACCTTCATTTAACTCTTGATGACTTCTAGAGGAAATCCCCCTGTGGAGTCAAAGTCAGGAGAGGGATCTAGGCACTTTATATCTGATGGTGGATTGGATTGGGTTGTGGGGTTCAGCAGGAACCTGAGCAGGAGTCAGAGCTTGATTGGTACCAGTAAGATATAGCTGAACTCACTTCCATACACAGCTCGGGCTCTGGAACATATCTATCGGAGAGACTGCATAGTCTCTCTTACTATGCAGTGAGAGAGCTACCATCGTGGGCGTAGAGATACTAACAAGCCCCGGGCTGAGTGCCCTGTTGTTGGAGTTCTTCCCTGTGAGTTAAAGAACCGAGTCTGTGTGGCTTCAAGTAACAAGAGGGAAGGTTTTGAATGTTGTCTCTTTTCATGTACAAAGCTCCAACTCAGATCCTCCAGTCTTTGAGTCCCTGGATTTGGATGTCATCTGTGAATTCTCCTGTGGCCAAGCTGGCAATGACACAGCATCCTGCAGGGTGGAATTGAGAGAAACAGACTTCTACGTCTGAAACCAGACAAGGTTTTGTTATTGGATTTCTTTGTTAGGAATAGGATTTTGATAACAAGCACAAGTACTTGATCCCAGGTCACTTTAGGTCAAAGGTTGATGATTTAGTTTGTAATGCTATCATTAAACTTGTGTTATGTCTTGGACACATGACCGTTCTCAAACTGAAGAAGAGGGGATGTAGGTCTTGGTTGTTCTTGTCGAATTTCGAAGCACCAGAGAGGCACAGGATGACCGAACAGAGAGCGGCTTTATTGGTGGGCAAGGAAAATATTTGATTGAGAGAAGAAGCTGGAGAGGATTTTGAGAAAAACTCTTGATGGGCCTTAAGAAAGTCTTGTAAAACTGACTTACATTGTTTCAGATTGGGGCTACAGCAAGAAGGTCCTGAATCCTGAATTGGGGTCTTTTTGCATGGAGTTGGAATGATCTGTAAATGTGGATTCTCTCAGGCTACTTTGATTTCCTTCCCACAGTCCAAAAAAATGGCTGTTATGTTAATTGTCTACTTCAATTTGCCCTTACAAGTGTGTGTGCTGTGTGTCCATGAGTGTTTTTCCCCTTTATCTCTGTTGGATGTGATGGACTAGCAGTTTGTTCAGGGTGTACCCCACCTGTCACCTGATGGCTACTGGTGATAGGCACAGGCTGCCCTGCAAGAAGAAGTAGGTATAAATGGTGGATGGTTCTTGTCTGTCCTGTGTGGCTCAGTCTGTGACCCGTCCATACCTAACCCTGCAATGATGAAGAAAGCTTAGAAAATAAAGGGATAGATTTTAGTTTGAAGGATCATTTGTTTCATCTGTTTCACAGTCTTGGAAGCCTGTCCAGAGTCTTCTGGTTATTGGACCAAGGGACATTTGCACCGGTCCTACAATGTCTCTGGTGAGAATTGGGCAAGCACAGAAAATGAATGAGTGGATATTGCTTTTTAAACACTTAGGTGTTTTTTGGAAGAAGTTTTGCTTTAAAAATGTCTAGTTCAATATGCATAGTGTTTTTTCTTTTAAACAAACCAAGTAACTTACAATGCCGGTCACCATAACATCAAAACGAACTGCAAATGCTTTGTGAAGACGCCGATAATCAGTTCCATCCGCCGTCTTGTAGTATTTGGCAAATCTGGATTCAATGACAAAAGATATTTAAGGAAAAGCAAAGTGAAAAAAACAAACAAACGACCCAGTACCATAACCTACCTAAAGTTGAAACCTTTGGAGAGGCTGGCATTTTGAAATGGAGCATCCAGTTGAGAGAAAGAGTACTTGGGAACACATAAGCTAATATTACGGTCCAGGTCACATCTCCACTCTATGTTTATTCCTATTTCACCGCCCTGTCAAATAGAAAGTAAACATCAAAGCTCAAAAGCTGTAAATGCTGAACCTGTGGAGTTCAAAATCTGCACCGTAGTCCACAACTATTTGCATGACGAGATCCTTTTTAATAGAGATACGATATTACATAAATGTTATGAAATACTGGCTTTTGACAACAGTATGTTTTGTCCTTCACTTCTATCATGTGATTACAACTCTACTGTCTGTTCTTGAGTACATCTTCACCTCAACAGTTTATGACTTGTGCTTATGTAGTGTTTTTTAAACAGTTTTCTTGTGTAAGACGTTTTCAGCTCTAAAAATTAAGGACAATTTAAACAGTAGGAAAAGTGAGACCTTGTTTGCCAGCAGAGACACATTCTGCTGAGCTTCATCCAGAATATACCCCACTCGAAAGATGGGACAGGAATTATCTGTGTCGTAGGTGCAATTCTTGATAGATTTTGTTGGAGAAACATTTTCTCTGAAAAATAAAAGGTTTGTGATAAAAAAAAAAACATTAAAAAAGTAATGTCTTCTTACCCAGATTAACCTATAATCTGATTTAAATTAATAAGATGTTTGTTTGACCCACCTGGTGACATTGAAGAGGGGGAAACGAATGCTGTTTTTGATGTAAATGGTGAAGTCCACAAAGTCAAGCATTGGCTTGCTGGAGACGGTGATAATATTAACATTTTAAGTGACAGAAACAGTACAGATAAGTTTGCGTCCGTGTGTGTTTGTGTGTGTGGGTCTTCGTGTGGCCTAATCTCACATGTCCACTTTGTCATCCTCTGCTGGACACCATCCTTCAATCTCACAGTAACCAGCAGATGTGTTGCATTCACCTGTAATTATACCTTTTAAAGAAAATAAAATTGGTTATCAATTTGACGTTGTCTAATCATTTTAGAACGCTTATACAGACACTTCTATAAGTGTGTGTGTGTTCAACAACGACAATCGTTACACGATGTCTTCCACAATGGACACCAGAGTCCATATGAGGGGCTATTTTGAGTTGAGCCTTGATGTTACAGGCAGTTACTGGACCGTCTAATGGTAAGTGACAACAGATGCAAAGGAATCCTAGCAAGAGCACATTACAAGAATCTGAGTAAATTTGATGGGAGTTTCATTTTAGGATTGGAAACAATGGATGTGCAATGGCATAAATGCATCATGTAAGAACTCATTATGCCAGGCATGCAGTATAAAACATGATTATAGATGACATGAGGTGTGTGAATGCCATCGCAGACCAAGGATCCCACAATCCTGAAAGGTTATACTCACCGTCAGCGTGAATGGAGCCAAGATGTTGTAGGCAGTCTGCATCTGTGCTGCAATTAAACTCTTTCTCATACTGAAATAAACGTGGAGTCACAACAAGTTTAAGTTGTTTATGACAAAGTTAATTTTATGACAAAGCAAAATGTGTCTGGGTACACACATAGCAAGTAGCATGCAAAATGATTTCAATAAGATTTAGCAGTATGCACAGACAGGAGTGTTTTACTGCATAAAGCTTTACCAGCACCAGGTCTGTAATTTGAGTCATAAGTTGTTGGTGGAATGATTTGTATGCAGAAATTCTCATGCTATAAGTGTGTCATCTGTATGTTTGCATACTTTGTTACGTGATTCCTAACAAAATACACAAACATGAGGGTTTTAAATGTGCTAGTAAATTAAAGCTTTATCCAAGTGAACTGATAAACATTGGAAAAATATTGTTTCAAATGTGTCACCTCTGGACATCGTCCTTGGAACTGGTTATCCGTTTCTATGAGTTTAGTAATGATGCTAAACACGCCTTCACCCTGAAACACACCACAGCATGTATTTTTTATTTTTTTTATTAAAGTATATGTTGAATATGAGTTTCTGTTGTTAAAGGTGTTTAATTGTGTCGTGGTGTGTTTCACACCTGAGGAGGGTAGATATAATCAGCTACGTCCATCACAGTGTTGTTCAGTTTGCCAAATCCTTTCACTTTCGTAATGACTGAGGACTCGAAGGCTGTGTCGGCCACCTGGTAAGCTTTTTCATAGAGGAAGACGTAGCTGCAGGGCAAATGAAGCGACATTCAGAGGTTGAGCTCAGTTTCAGATCTTACCTCCAAGTCTAAAACCACTAAACCAAAACTTACGCAAATATCCAGGTTTTTTTAGGCAAGAATATCAGTTCAATGTGAAAAATATTGATAATAAAAGTAATAACGATTGTTTCGGTAATAATCCAAATGCATCTCAGAAAAGGAAAGATTTGATATCAAACTTCTGATCTTTAGGTGTTTTTGTGGTTTTTCCTTTGAATTTTTTTGTTAAAACCAGGATAGAATTTGGACAACGTTTATATTTGTCTACAAAATACTTTAAGAGCACGATGAAGTATTTTATTATTAAAATATTAAAATACATAACTTTTGTTATGTATTTCTCCTACATAACTAAAGTGTTAAGAAATTAAAACAATATCTTTTTTGAGGTAGCGTCAACACAAAATCAAAATACAATTTCGAGACAGAATCACAAACCAGAGTGAATACAAATTGCAGCTGTCAATTAATATTTTCTCATGGTGAAAAAGCCATTCAAACCAACCTTATCCTATGTGGAAAAATATTAATCCTCTACACTCACAATTGGCTGGAGTAAGTAGACTGCAACAGAAGCATCAGAGTCAGTTTTTATTACATACATTAAAATATGTATGTCTTGTTTTAAATACATCTTGGCCACCTGAGTGGACATATGAAAAACTATCCCCAGAACTACATGCCCAATAATGGAGGTTCAGGTTTCAAGATGAATAGAAAAGGCTTTAAAAATATCTGGAGTGAATCTATTTTAACTCATGCATGAACTACAACTAAAGTAAACATATAAAAAACGGATTACTGACCCAACAAAATACGAGATGATGATTAGCTGCACCAGTCGATAAACGATCCCTAAAGGCCAGCTCCTCACCACCACAGACTTGTTGGTTTCGTAGGTCAGGATGCTGGTGATGCAGCCACACAGTGCTGAAGTCATGGCTGCAGAAATCCTTTGGTCTGAGACAGAAAAAGTCCACTTTTTCTCCAGGCCTTCAACCTAAACCTTTGAAAATCAGGAAAAATCTCCCCTGCTTCGGACCAGAAATCTTCAGAGTGTCTCTCCTTCTGCTCTGAACATCAGTCTCTCCCCTCTGTGTCACTGGTTAATGACATAAATCAGACCTCACCCTCTTTACTCAAAGGAGCGAGAAGAGGATTTCTATTTCCTTCTTGACCACAAATCCCAGTCTCCCATGCTGCTCTCCACGTCTCTGGTTTGAGTGAAAACACAGCAGCCTCGTGGACGCTCGTAAACACTTAGCCAGCAATCGATAAGCCATATATATCTTCAGTCATTTCTCTGCTACTGTATCAAATTCATTTAGGAAGTGTCTTGTATGTTTTATGACATCACTCTATCAGCTAAGTGTCAGTAATCTGTGTCCAGTTCACTCACAACAGCCTGGCAATAAAAGAAAGAAAGAATGTGTCCTCTGCTTCCCTCCAATCTTTCTTCGTTTTGTCATCAGAACCGCACGATTTAATGCATTTCATTGGGATTCCACGCGATAAAAACCCCCACAGAGTAGAGAACAATGGGAAAGTAAAAGAGAAACAATGTATGGTTTTAACAATTTTAAAAGAAAACTCTGAAAAGTTTGTGTTCACTTCCCAGAATCAATGACTAACTGTGATCATTTTTATTTTCAGCCTCTAATTGACTTTCTTCCAGTGTTATCTTGTTTTTTGCTCCATCCATATTATGAGCTCTGACCAGCTTTCCATATACCAGAATAAGAAACCCATCCCCACACCATAATGCTGCCACCACTATGTTTCACCATGAGAGACTTGTGTTGTCTGGGTCAAATAAATAGTTTTCCGCTACAGGTTAGGTTTTTCTTGTGTGCCTAAAGGAATCCACTTTTATCCCACATCATAAGTTACAGTATGGAAAAAAATGTTGTTCCACTGGCAGGTCCATTCAGTTATAACTAGTACTTTTTCAGCAATATTAAGGAAGTGTTGACTTAAACAGGTTCCTAATTTTTTTTCTGGAAAGCTACTTTGTAGTTCGTTTTATTTTTTTTTCAAAGTGTATTAAGATATTTGCAATAGGTCAAAAATACTTTGTAGGAGTTTTAGTTTTTTGCAGTTGCAGTGAAATATGAAAAGCTATGGAAAATAAAAGCCATCATCTAATATAATGAATATATCAAATTAAATAATGTGACTTATTTATATCAATCCATTACCCATTTATACATGTGTAGGACCACTAATAGATTTCATCTGGTGCCTTTTCCCCTCTTACCATTTCACACTACTACACGTAAAATTTGAACTTAATTGTTTTAGTTACTTTCTATGTATTAGTTACTTGGGTTGATATCCACTCCTTATGAAAATTTAATGTCAACAGGACCTTTAAAAATATATTTATAATTAAAAAATGATCTTATCCCAAATATAAACCCACCAGATAAACATCACACATGGTCAAAAATACAGACAAACTTACATTATTTTCTTTAAGTCAAACCTCTGACAGCATTAAGGGTCTGGATTTAAATGCTTTTTTAGTGGCTTAAATTTAAAAAAAAAATAAAAACTGTTCATAAATTGCATTATGTAGCCACTCAGACATGTCTAAATGCTCAATATTGATCCATTAAACTTTTTTTTTTTTTTCCAGATTTCTATACAGAAACTATAGAAAAATGAGTCACAAGAAACAAAACAGTCTAAAAGTGCTAGAATAAATTATAGATGAATGGCAGCTGGTCATATGACAGGACAGGCAGCATTACAGACTCAAACATCAGGGAGGTAATGCAATTGTGAGACAGTCAACGTCTCTTACTGTGCATTTCTGCATGTGCGTAGACTCCATGTCATTTCTTAAGTGGCCCCCATTATGTTTGTGGTCTTTCAATGGTAACCCAATATGGCGGCAGAAACACATAAACGCATGCCGTGGATGTTTTTTTTAGGAGCACAAGCTCTCGGGCAGCACATATTTATATAAGTTATTGCGATGGCCAATTATACTCCCAAACATTTACACACGAGGCACTCGCAGAGGAAACTGTATGCAGACAGAGCAGATAATTAAGGATGAGCAAATAGGGAAATACAAACATGAGGATGCAAACAGATAGGATCAACGCTGGTACATTTGCATTAGTTATGTATGAGACAGCATTAAGTATCCAGTTCTAATTAATGGTTGTAAGGAAAGTAAGGAAAACCCCAGACATTAATTAAAGAACTCCAAAAAATAAATAAAATACAAATGAAACCAACGCCAGGAAATACTTGTAGAACTATAAAAATAATTATTTAATAGACTAAAACTATTATAACTCAAAGGGAAAGACATGGATGTATATTTCTATTACTGTGTAAGAGTTTTAAACCATCCCTAAATCTCCAAATACTTTATTTTAGTATTACTTTGTGACTTCTGCTCAACAATAGACTTTTTTCCTACTACTCTTCACTCCCAGAACTTCTAGGAGAACCCTTCTCACCAAAACCATCACTTAAAATGAACGCTTGATCCGGTGATGTTTGGCTTTTAAAAGCCACACTCCAAAACCACCTTCCTCTCAGGCTTTGGGGATTTGTTTGAAACCCTCGTCTCTGCAGCGTTCTCCCTCTAAACGCGCTCAACCAAACCCAACCGACTGGTTAAATTGGCCGATGTGCCCCAGTGTGCGTACATTCAGTGGGAATACCTTGAGCAAGACGGCTCTAAAAGCTCGCTTCACGTTCTCCAGCGTAATGGGTTGGGGAGAGAGAATGAGCTGGAGGCTTACAGGCAGAAAGTTGTTGAACGCTGATATGTCTTCCCTGATGAAGAGAATGTTTTATACGATTCACATGTTTAAAACAACAACAACAACAACAAATAATTTTAATTTATGAATTGTCTGATGACATTTTTCAATCATCTTTTCTTTCAGTTGCTTTAAATTACATTCAAAAATGTCTCAGATCAGAATAGAAATAATGGAGAGACAAGATATAAATACTCTGTAAATCATGATATTTAAACTGCATATTTAGGTGTTAAATAAAATCCAGTCTGGTCGCTCCATCAGCTGATCGGCTGGCTAATGTGAACTTTCTATAGGTCAGCATTGATCCTGCCAAAATCTGTACTGCATGTCCTTCATCACAACACAAATACTATTGTGCAAGTTGTATTTACTGCAAAAAATTATCTATGTCAACCAGATTACTTTTTTTTTTAAATTTATCTTATGTAAATCCCAAAGATGTGTTGGGATTTAAAAACCCCCAACAATAAATAATCCTTTAATCTTCCTGAATTCAATAATCACACCAACCAACATATTTGATAGTTTAATCTTATTCCTGTTTGGTTAAGGTGAATAAGTACAGATCATTTTTATTTTATAAGAAACATATCAAGGCAGTCAAGGAGCTTTGGCAAAACATATAAAGACCAAAACCCCAAGAATTTATTGAAAAATTCTGTATTTATTTTGACCTGAAAAGAACAAAAAGACATTTTTTAAAGAGCACTACGCAAGAGGAACAAAAATCGATCCCCCTATACATAGACAAACTAATAACTCCTAGCGTCCTCGGAGCGATGCAGCTAATCATTCCCATGGGTTCAACTGTTTCATTATTTCACCGAGCCGTCAGGAGAAGACGAGCTCAAATATCAGCGCAGATTGGTTTCCAGACGTAGTCACAAAATACTTGATTGTACTTTTAAAATGAAATGTGCTGAAGAAGAAGGTACAACTCAAGTTTGTTGATTGGTTTGCAATCAACGGTAAAAACAGTTGGTCCTGGGTTTGTGGATGTGATCAGTGTCTCTTCAGTCAGACTCTTCCTCTGAGCTGGCAGGAGTGGATACAGCTTCCTCCTCCTCTTCCTCCTCCGATTCCTGGGTGAATAAAACATTTCAGTAAGAACCACCGGGGTTGATTCATGTTGTCACAGTGAAGATTTCAAATAAATAGTTGAATCTGAGGCTCAATGTAAACTTTGGTTAGAAACTGATTCCATTCCTTTCAAAGATACTTTATCAGAAAGGGAAATTAAATGTTAGCTCATATCTTTCAAGTTTCTTCAAAAAGTCATACTGATGCTTAACTAGTCTAAGACCAAAGTTTCTGTCCTACAATGTGTTTGGTGAGTTAAGGGAGACACAAATATTCAGCTGAAACTTAAGACATGATGCTGAAGAAATGCTGGATGTTACTGAACTCTAGTGACTGAAAATTTGTAATATTGATATGTAATCTAACAGAACTCAGATCGACTTTCAAGAAACTAAAAAAAAACTCAAGTCTGGAAATCCAAACGGCTCCTCTGTCATCAAACAGCAAAAGAAGAAACCAGCCACTAAATTTGACTAGAGTGACGTGTTTGGATGACAATAAGTAGCTACACAAATTACACAAATACAAGAGGAAAACATGTATGTGTGCTTCCAGGGAAACTGTTGAAACTTAGAAAGAAAATCAATCATAAATCTCTTTCATCTGTTAGTCAGAATTACTTTGCTACCAGAGCGATGTTTGAAAATTGTGGCTTTTTCTTTTTGTTTTGAATCAATGCTTCATTATGCTAATAACTAATAACCATGACTGGTTTTACCTTCTTCTTCTTCTTCTTCTTGGATTTGCTCTTGTGGTCGGAGTCGGAGGAACTATCGTCGCTGGTCTCAATGAACTCTCGGCTCTTGAAGCTGTCGTTTCCTCCTCGATCCTTTTCTTTCTCTCCACCGCTGGACTTTCTCTTCTTCTCGTCTTTTTTTCCACCAGATTTTCTCTTCTCTCTAAACGGTCGGACGCGTAGGAAGACAATTAGGGATGTAACACGAGCTTCATGAGGGGGAAAAAAAAAGAGACACTGAAATAAAAGGCTTACTTCCTGGGACTGGAGGTTGATCCTCCTCCGCTCTCTTTGTATTCCTTCTTTAATTTGTCATATTGTCTCTTTGCCTCCCCTGCTTTTGATTCCCATTCCTGAAAGAAACGGAAGTACAAGAGATCAGGGGTTTTGATCAAAGTGCTGCTCAATTAAAATATAAAATCTCTAGGCCATGTCTCACCTCCTTCTCGTCTTTGTTCA